TAAATTAAAAATGTTGTATTGTTCATACATATGCGTACCGAACCGAAAGCACTGTATCGAACGGTTCAATATCGATACGAGTATTGTTGCACCCCTAATAGAAACGTACAAATACTAACGATCTGTAGCCCATCAAACCACATCGATACAGAGAGTGGTTTCTAGAAAGTTTTGAGTAGCGACGTTTCACAGATTTCAGTTACACGGGATGTATAACATGCAGGTTCTACCTGACTAGGGGACAAACACAGGTCAGAGGCCGGGCAGGAAACTGCTGGATGCACAGCTGTTAATCAAAGCTGCCATCAGAAGAATCTTATTTCTACTGTAACATTGGGCGTTCCTACCCCTTTACCATAAACGTTGTTCCTTTTTCTGCTCCAGATATGTTTATTACTGTCGTCACTGAACTATACGTTTCTATTCTTTGGCTTATTTTGCTGTTTCAGGTCTAATCTGGAGCGAGAGCTGAGAAAAGGTCGCGATCGAAAGAGCGAGCATCACCTCGGTGCCTCCTCGGTACCTCAGTCCAGCACTCCGCGGACCGACAGGAGACAACCAGAGGATGTACCAACAGTACGTGGATTCTCACATTAACGATATGTCCGACAAACAGCTGTCGGCTGTGGTTTGGTGGCTTATGACTGTATTTCTAACAGCAACTCGCAGAATCCCCGTCAGTGAAGGAGAAAGACCAGTTAGAGAGTGGCCCGGAGGACAAAACCAGCCTGTAGGTATCTCAGAGTTTCAGAAAATAAAGTGAAATTTATGGAAAAATAATTCACTTTTTTATGTCTTTAACTTTGAAGGTCCCTGTCGCACCACGAGGATGAGCAGGTGAGATTTGACTTTTTAAAGTTTGGCCTTTTGATAAGTGGATGCTGAAGCAGTCATTGTGTACTGATGGCAGTGTGTCTGTGCACTCATGCATTTATTTCTTTTTGTTCTTCCTCAGGAGTCGTTCTTGGAGATCAGCGAGCCTTCCATGTGTACGATGTGTGAGCAGGCCGACTCCCTCCTCAAGACAAAGGTACAAATTACTGAGGATCATTTTGAACTTGAGTTATCGAGAATATTTTTCTGTTTGGCATTGAAAGTTTA